ATTTTTTTGAAAATTTTGGCCCGTTTGACCTTGAAGTAAAGGTCAAAGGTCAAATCCAAGGGCATATTTGAAATCTACACATATGACTTTTGGAAAGCCGTCTGTAGAAATTTTTCCCATAACCCCTTCCGTAGGGTAGATAATTAGCATTTAATTTTGCCATTTTTGGACAAGGGTGCATTTCAATGAGTGCCACACCCAGACCCCAATACCGACAAAGCCCAAATTTTACGTGGAACGAGTTGAGATTATAGGTGACCTAAATCCAAGAGATGGGTACGGGGGGCCTTACCGCCTAGGAGGAGAAGCGGTAACGGTAGCCGTCCGGCGGAGCCGGCGGAGCCGGCGGAACGATCCGGACGGGACCGAAACCATGTGTACCGCCAGCGCTAACGCTGGTGGTACAATAATCATGGACTGAGATTATAAACATTACTTTGTATTAACTTTGATTTAACTTTGCTAATATAATTTATTATGTGAGAAAGATATCTATATTGTATACTGCATGAGAAGGAGTGTGGTCTGAAATTATAAAGAAGTGATGTGTGTAAAATAACCATGGATTGAGATTAACAACATCACTTAGAATCTACTCTGATTAACTTTGGTAATATAATATATGAGAGAGAGAGAGGGGGGGGGAGGAAGAGAGATTTTGTCTGTAATGTGTGAGAGAGAGAGGAAGAAATGAAGAAGGATATTAGTTTTTATTATGTGAGAGAGAGACAAAGGGAGAGGGAGAAAGAAAGATTTTGGCTAACATTGTGTGTGAGAGAGAGAGGGAGGGTGAAGAAGATTATTTTGTGTGAGAGAAAAAGAGAGGCAGAGATTTTGGTCTGTATTATGTGTGTGTGAGAGAGAGAGAGAGAGAGAGAGATGGAGCAAAGGAGAGAGATTTAGAGCAGGGGTGGGTAGTGCAATTTTTCCTAGCAACACTACCTAACTGTCCTGGCTGCCTTGAGAGTTGAGGATCGGCTCCTAACCCAGGCTGGGACTGGAAGTTAGGGTTGTTCAGCCGCCCCAGGAATCCCATCCTCATGTCTAACTCTGTGGGATATGGCCGCCTAGGATCACCTGAGTGATAAAACAAACTTGTCATTACTCATCTTTTCCACTCCTTTGATTTTCAGGATTTATAATTATTTGAGTAGGAAAGAAGTGATAACTATTTGAATTGAATTGGGGTTGATTAACAATGTTTGGTCAACACTCAAAAGATGCCCTCCAGTGACTAATTCTGAGTAAAATTCATTATTAAATCATTTGTAAATATATATCAGCACTGAAAGCAATATCTGATAAACAATGATCAAAGTTGAAACATTGTGAAAAGCAGCTGAGTTCAAAATGGAAAGTCTAATTTCATGAAAAGCATGGTACAAATTTCATGAAAAGCATGGTTCAAATTTCATGAAAAGCATAGTACAAATTTCATGAAAAGCATGGTACAAATGAGGTGGATAATGAATGTGGCCACTCATTGCATAATGAAGCTCTCAGAAAGGATTCCCACAGTCCAGAATTATTCATTATATTTAGTAACACCTGAGGTTAGTTGATATCAGATTGTACAGAGTTGGGTCAGTCACAAAATAAATAGTATATGATAACAGCATTACCTGGTTGCCAAGTATTAGGAGCTGCTACAGCATGACTAGAGCTAATTTTATGTGCATACTTTATGAGCTCTTCAGACGGAATGGACTTCTGATTAGCCTGCTTGATGGAGGTCAGTTTCTGTTTGGCTTGATATATGGCTGTTGCCTAGAAATGAGAGAAATGACGAATTATGTCTGATCTCACAGGCCCATATCATTGGCTGCACCAGGGCATTTGCTTCAAACAAGAATGGCAGTGTTTTTAAAAAGATAATAAAATGAGTGGCAGAAATATGTGGCTCTCACTGCAGAGATGCAGATTTGCATTGCTTAATATGTAGAAATTTCATTCTAGTATTCTGTAAAAGTAATATCTTGAAAGTTTGCTTGTGTAAGGTTTTTAAAAGAAGTAAGTGCAGTCACAGTGAAAAAAAGTAACGAAAAATGTACTAGTAGTTTGGAGGTTAAACTGACATAAGACTTATTAAATTTAAGATTTTTAAAATTTCTAGTTAAGTTACAATGCAGTGTGAAGGTTCAGTATATATATTTTTCTTGAAACAATAAATGCCCTAAATAATTATACATTAATTCCAAATGCAAACACATGGGACAAGTGGTAAACAGTTGTAAAAACTGAAAATCCTTTTAAAATGTTGCTTGCAATTTCTCAAAATGAACAAGATAAAGACTAAAAATCATTAAATCAGGCATAATGATCCTAAAAACTTTCACCCATTGTAAGGGTCTTTTTTTTATTATAACCCCGACCCCCAGACCACATCAAATAATCTTTTATTTATAATTAAACCCCCAGGAGTTGGGCAAAATGGGCGCATATCTTTGGATAATGCAAAACTGCTACAGAGATTCCCTGGTTCTATGTCTTAAACTCTGCACACAAAAAGAATGAAACAACTCCATGTTATAACTTCAACCGAATACATTTTGCTAAACTAAAAGTTACATGGTCAACTCTAAGCATGGTCAACTCTAAGCTTCAATCATGACCTCTTTCCTTCTAGTCTTTCCAGTCTCCCTTTCATATTCAAGTTCATGGGTTTTTATGCTTAACTGTATCAATAAAAATGTCAATCAAATAAATCATAAACTGATTGGATAATGCAAACACCAGGCTGCCCTCTAGTGGTGGACACTCCCAAGACCTCCATACGATCAAGCTCTCACGGATTACTAGCTTGAAACCAAGAGCATGAATTTGAACTGGTGGGTGTGAAATATTATCTAAAGCTACTTATACATCTTAGCTTCCCATATGTCAATTTTCTCAAGCAGACTTCAACTGAATGAATTAATACCACACCTTGTATGGAACATTAAAAATATAAAGTACAATTTTTTTCAATACTGTGGTCCATGCAAATATATACTAGTATACAGTAATGACTGTATCTTTTCAATGGGGGAAAATTGTGAATTTTTCAGATTTATTTTAAAGTCTTAATTTCCTAAAATAAGAGCAACCCTATTCAGTGTTGACAACAAAATTGAAAAGCAGACTACCTTTTTGTTCTATATCATGCATTAAAAGCACCACAACTGCTATACAAAAATATAAATTTAAGGAGGGTTGGGTTTAAAATGATGTATCTGAAAGTTTGATCATTTTTGCCCATTGAAAAGATCCGAGTCATTACCGTACTATACTTAACACACAGAATAATTTCTTACCAAAATAGTTTCTGCTTCCTTTAGATTCTTCTGCAACTGAAGTATATCAGCATCTCTTCTGTCAACTTCTACCTGCAAGGCTTCAATCTTCTTCTGGACTTCACCTTGCTCTGTTGCTAAAAAAATAAATTAAGAACAATGTGACAGAAAATGTGTTGATAATCTTTTAAAATTCTCTTGTAAAAAAAATCCTTTTTTATTTCTTTTGTGGTATAAATATGTCAGAGACATGGCCATCATCAAATACACCAAACGGGGCACCAAACTCATTTTCTTTTTCTTTTTCACAAAAAAATGTAGCAAAATTTTTACTTAAAATCCCCCACACAAATAAAGAGCTCACTTTCTAATCCTTCATTTGCTTTTTCTAGGTATAAAAGACAAATAATGACAGAAAAAAGTCCAAAATCATTCTAACATATATCAAGTTTGAGAAAGTGCAACTATGAAATATCACACATTGTTTTGTCTGCCTATACAAGGTAATTTGACCTCCATCACTCCCTTCTTTCCATCTCTCTGAAAACATTTCTAAATTCTTAGATTAAATGAGTTAACATAAAATTTTTCATAAACAAAATCTTTACCTGAATCCTGCTCATCTAAATTATTTATATAAACTCTGTTCTTCAGACAAGACTGTGTGAGAAAAGAACATGCTAGTTTCCCCACTGTCTGCAATTCCCCATACCTCCAACAAGATTACTGCCTACTGCCTTCAATGCCAGCAGCCTGAGATCTTATAACCCAAACTATTGAGACCAGAAATGAGGTATGCTATGATGAATACTATTGGCCAAGACAGACTATGTGACCTGTTATCATGAATACTATTGGACAAGACATATCATGTGACCTGCTGTGATAAACCTGTGACCACATGTCAAAATTCACAGAGGAAGAACTCCCACAAACAGCTGTTATAAACAACCCACAGTTCACAAGTTAAGCCGAGATAGCAGAGGATGTTACATAATCAGGGAACTTCAAAGCAAACAACTGCAGATGGCAAATTACCCATAAAGATAATTCAGCATTCAGCAAAATAGGAAACAAACATTTTAATCACTTCTTTCAGTAAACATTAATGTGAGGGTCCAAACCCCTAAACATCCCTCCACCCCCCCCCCAAAAAAAAAAAAAAAAAGAAAGAGAGAAAGAAAGAAAAATTGATTTTTCATTTTCTGGGACTGGTATCTTCCAGGCTCACAGTATTAATCAGAATTAGAGTTGTGCTCACCTAATCACATTACTGAACCTGAGCTTTCATTAATTTAATATTTTTTAGCTTTTTGTCATACTCTGAAGTGGCTGGGTGCATACCTGTTTTCAAAGCAGCCTGTATTTCTGCATCTTTCTTCAGCAGCAACTCCATCAGTTGCCCCGTGTCTGCTACAGGCTCTGTAGAAGTCTCAGTCTTCTTGGCTGACATCAGCTCAAACAGTTCTCTGCAAATAAAAAATAATAATAATCTTAATTTTTATTGATCTATTGAACCTTCGGACTATTGCTACGGCCCCCTTTTAACAGCCATGTAAACAGCTATGTAACTGTAGTTCTCCCTCCCTTTAAGTTTGAACGTATCCTTTTATGTGGCATATGCTTGTATCCATATCTTTATAGTATGTTTATGGTAAATTTATAATCACACCAAGGTTTATCTTAGATAGAATATTTTATGAATAAATTTACTAGTACATATGTTCATTATATAAAGATTATTTTTTCATTCACAAACGGCTAGGCAACATAATTACCAATTAGAGAAATGGTAATGCACCAATTGTATTGTATCATCATTAATATATCATATTGTACAAGGTCATGACAATCTATGTACCAGTACAGAAATAAATTGAATTGAAAATTGAATTGATCACTAAAATGTGTACAAGTTACATTTTACAGGCTCTCTACTCTATTGTTTTTATTTTGTGCCGAAAGGTTCGCTGCGTCGACAGCCCGCTATGCCAAAGTCATCGTAGAGTTAGATTGCCCATACTTTGAAGAAAATATTTTGAAAATAGTACCTTTTTTATTATAATAATATATAATAGCATTACTAGCCTTTAATACTACAAAGAACATGCATTACACACTATATTTTCTGCATATATAATTGCGTATTTGTATATACAATTACGTAAACATACAAGTTCATTCTGTGTGTTAAATATAAATTTAATTATATATCCGTTAAATTGATTTTTGGGTAAAAGCCTTCATTCATTTTGCCAAGCGATATAGGCCAACGATCAATTTTGTGGCAAGTGTAATATAAGCTTCCTTATATGTGGGGGCAAATCGTTTCGTTGTTGTTTTCAGTCGTGTACTTTTTTAATATATTCAATTTATTTTTCTAGGTAATCCTATGGGGATGCATTTAGATCAACACAGCACGTACGTGCCCAAGCCGTATTATAATCGCATGCGCTTTTAAGATTACAATTTATACTAATACAAAAATATTGATGCACTAATTTTCGCATTGAGGTTTTTTTATTTTATTTTAGAAGGTTTAAGAACAGTGGCAGTTTGTGTTTTTAGATCGTTTGAGAATGCGACTGTCCCTAAACTTCTGTGTTATTCTTTCGGAAATAATACTTAACGCTTTTCATCTTTTCTGTTATGTTAAATATATTTTGTATTGTGTTTTGTTATATAACAATTCTGCGTTTGATGCTCATAAAGGCAAATGGTAATGCTGACCGGTTATTGTTTATTTTAAACTTAACATTATATATATTTCGATAGGAATATTTTGGCGTTCCGAAAAGGAACGAAAGTCACACGAACTCTCGATATTAATCAGACTTCGTACAGTGCCATTTGCCTGGCGCAACCGACTTTAACTTTTTTTAACTAGAGGATCAGAGAGGCGATACCGCCTCCAGATATTGTACCACCAGCTGGAGTAAGCGCATTCGGATGGGTAGTGATTTTCTAGACAATAGGCCTATTGGCTTTNCCCATAATTCCTTCGGTATGGGAGATATTTAGCATTGAATTTCCAAAAATTTTGACAAGGGTGCCTTTCGACGAGTGTCATGCCAAGGGCAATGCACCGACTGAGACAAAAATACCCAGGGGTTCAAGTTGAGATTATACGTGACTTAAATCCAAGAGATGGGCACACAGGCCCATGCAGTCTAGGAGGAGAAGCGGTAACGGTGACTTGTATCCCACGACACCCTGCGGAGCCAACGGAGCTTACGGAGCCGGCGGAGCCGGCGGAGCCGTACGAGACGGGTCGGGACTAAAACCATGAGTACCGCCAGCGTAGACGCTGGTGGTACTAATAAGTTCTCCATGCTGTGCAGCTGCTCGATTTGTTTATGTAATGATTTAACATAAGATAAATTTGCTTCATTTTCTGAATTTCAGTTAACCATTCAGTGTTGCTCTGCTTCACTCATCGCCGTTTTGATTAATAGAGATTCGTTATTTTTTAAACTTGGTATGTTTAGTTAGTCTGTGTTTTAAGGTTTATAAGCTTCTTTCAGTAATATTTGTCTTATCTGCAAAAAAACAGTCAAACTATTTTAGTTTTCAGAGGATACTAGAATAATTGCGGTAGGCCTAACCGTAATTTTGTGGTAAAGAGAATTCATTTACTTCTATGAGTTGTTAAACTTCTATTGTGAAATATGTGCTAGTTGTCTAACGCAATTAATTATCAAAAGTAACACAGCACACAAATATAAAACTATATGTAATTAAATCAGTAATAAATAGTAATTAAATAGATAATAACAAAAATACGAAGCTAAAATAACTGTATGTGACAATTACGACTACTAAAAGTATAATGATAATAAATAAAAAGATGTTAATTTTACACACACCCAATAACTACAAGAAGTTCGCCAAAAATAATTAGAGAATGTATTCTTTTCAGTAATTTCCTAAATGTGGGTGACGCCCATAGTGCCAAAAATAATTAATAAATTAACTTACAGAACTGATTATTAAGCAATTTAAGATGTTTATGTCCATAAGGATAAACTTTCAATGCACAGTTTTAACAAATTCAAATGGTACGGATCGAAGAAGAGAACTTTTAAAACCCGTTGATTTTCAAAAAAGGCCACTGCTCGTCACGTTACATAACAAGCACAATGGGTGATAGGTAGCCGACTTTTTCGGCGCAGCGAACCCTTGGCACAGCGAACCTTCGGCATAGCGAACCTCCGGAAAAACTTAGCCGATTTTAGACCAATTTTCCGGTTTTGTCGGCACAGCAAACCCTCGGCACAGCACGCTGTCCCCCTCTACTCTAATCATAACATCTTTATAACAACTATACACATCTATACAAATTACAATATGGAATGATTACTGGGAAGTATAAAATGACTATTGCTATTGATCTGATGGGTGTATCAATTTTTTTTTTTTTTTCAAAAAAAAATTACACAAGCAGACAGTGTTCTCCAACACTTCTCTTGTAGAAAGTATTGAAAAAGCATTACTACTTCTCTCCCAAAGAAACGTACATCATCAAAATTGCAATGTTCCAAATTTCTCTCCCCCCCCCTCACCCACCAAAATTAGTCCCCAAAGTCCCAAAGGCAATCACAGGGCAAGAAACCAGAAAATTAACGAAAGCAGAGAACCCGTTGTCGCGAAAAGCCAATTAAGGTAATCTGCATACTAGTAAATTGGGGGCGTCTTGATAGTCCGAAGGTTCATTGGTCCGAAAAGTGGTAACATTTTCATTGATTTTTTAATCAAGGGTTCATTGGTCCGAAGGTTCTATAGTGAATATTCGGACCAATGAACCCTCGGACTATTGAACCTTCGGACGGCCCCAGTAAATTACTGTGACAAATCTTAATTTAGTACATTCTGCATGGCAGTGAGCAACACTTCGGCCTGGTTTGTAAGTGCCATAACTATAACATGGTATCATCATGTACCCCCAGGGCCCACCCCCCACCAAAACAAACTACCACACTCCGGCTTTGTTCAATTATTTTGAGCACGTGAGAAGACCCAAGTCACATAAACGATGAAAATAAATTAAGCGAGAATACGACAAAACATAGGCACAACATGTTTAGTTCAATCATTCCGTGTTAAGAGTCAACTTGCACTGTAGCAATTATTAAACCTAATGCTCACTTTGTGATTATTTCTACATCTTCGATTAGCGAGAGCAAAACTTGCTTCGTACCGGGCGCCGCCATCTTTGTTTTTGTTAGTGGTAAAGGGACAATGTGGCGAATATGAAAAATTATATTACTTACATTTTGTACGTATTTTTATCCTTTGTTGAGATATTTAGCCTGGCTGAATAAATATAATACTAATAAAATACAAATAAAACATAATAGATGTAATGTCAGTAGATGTGTCAAGATTTAAATGCACCACTTTCACGGTGTAAACGTTCCCTTACTTCGTGTCAGCCTAGAGAGAGACAATACCAAGCCTAAGCAGGACCGTGCCAAATCGACAACATATTTTTTGTAAATATTTCACAAAATCGTACAAAATGAACAACAAATTTGATGCGTAAGTATAAAATGGGGTTGTGTGTTTTCACGAATACACAATCGGCGTGGATTGCAGTGGTTTTTGAGGGAGTTGAGCGTATTTTTCACCTGGTAGATCTCGTATTTTCTCGGGCATTTGACGCCAGGATCAAAACATTTCATTCGATGTACCAAGACTAGAGTGCACCAAGATAAAGCGTGTAACTTTTGAATCAGAAAAAGGCTGTCTTTACAAATAGGTCCTATATAGGGTGCTACATGGATAATAATACTTTTAAAGCTAGGTACTATATTGTCTTGCCCTGTCTATATTGCACCGGATTATAAAAAGAAACTCCTTCAACTTCGAACGTGGCTCATGCAGTAGATATTTTGATCCACGTCATGCCAGTGATTAAGTCCAAGATTCTGTTCAGATATTTGGGTCAAAAAATTTTCAAAGACCTCCCTTTCCCAGCTGTATGGTATTTGTATTCAAAAGTAAAATACGGACTGTTTGTGCCACTAAAGCTGATCTAAACTTAAAGACAAATGTTAAATGTTAGTGATTTTATTGAATAGTAATTACAAATAGTGGGCTATAAAAAGTGTATGTTATGTCTGTGCTAAAAATAGAAAGAAGTGGCTTATGTTTACGAATGGTCAATAGTTTTAAAATATTTACTGGTATTAGTGTATAAAGTTAAAAGTTCAAGTGTTTGGACTACAGTACACTTATCCTGAACTGAAATGGAGGAATTCATATTTTTTCTTCAAGGTTATGCAGTTTTCTTTTTCATGGAGCTGACTCCTGATCCACAAAGCCAACTCTCCTCACCCCCCCCCCCCACCCTCCTTTCCAATATGTATGTACTGTATACAATGGCTTGCTAGACCCCTCCCCTTTAACACCCTATTAAACTTCCCTATTTCCAAAGCATACATGTATATTTAGCTAGGATACATAGACGTTACATTTACTCTTACATGTCTTGCACAAGCTTTATAAGGTAGGCCTTACACTCATATTTTTAATTTTATTTTCTCCTTAGGCTCAAAAATGAAGAAGACAGTGGAGAAGATGAAAATGGAGAACAGAAAAACAAAGAGTCAAGGGTATTTCTGACTTGGACATCTACTCCATTAAATTATAGTTATATATAAGTGTTCAATTTAAACTTTATTTAGAGTCAATCTGTCTTGTAGGATGTCAGTTATTATTGGTCTTTTTTTTTCTTCTTTCTTTTCTTTTTTTTTTAAAGAAATTTTAGCCATGTCTCAACTGATACCAAATTAGTGCTTGGAAGTTTCATTGCTTGATGTTGATAATTTTATATTTATATTTTGGAAGTTGTTCTGGTGTAGAGCTTTATGTGCCCTTTTCATTTAAATATATTTTTATATATTAATTTTACATACTAGTACTGTCATTTATATGCATATTAAAATGTTTTGCTTGATTTTAAAAAATGTTACAAATATAATATTTTCCAGCCTGTGTTTTCACTATGAAAAGGTGAATACCAGGCAAAGTGTAGTTGTTGTAAGTTCTTTCAGTATATCCTAGGCTTCATTAAATGTTTTCATTTAATATCTGACTGTCTCCTTCCAGCCTGTGGTAAAACCAGGAAAAGGTGAACATCCACTCCAGTTCAACTATTGTTTTTGGTTCTCACGACGCACACCAGGAAAACAGACATCTTCTTCCAGCTATGACCAGAATTTGAAAAATATAGGAACTTTTGCATCTGTGAGTATATACTAGTAGGCCTTTTTGTATTGATTATTGGATCTTAAGTCAGAGAAGAATTTCATCAGCTGTGTCATGTTATAAAAATTAAGTAATTTTTCTTTTGGAGGTAAAATTTGGAGGGAAAAACTATTTCCATACCTGTCACTGAAGAAATATTACAGTACTTCATTCTTGGATCTTAAGTGTTGTGTTTAGAGAAGAGGACAGTTTTATACCCTGTCTTTGATATAAGAGAACCACTGAAACAGAGAGCTCCCATACTTGGCACAGCTCCCAAGTGCAGCGTGTACCTAGAGCCTGTGCATCACATGATTTTCTTATATTACTACCTGAATTTCAGTCTCAGGGACCATAACCAGACCCTATCATACTAACTGAATCGATCTACCTCTGAGGGGATTCTCGCTAAATTGCAATCAAGTTCAGCAGCTTAGATGTCTACCTACTGAAGCTGCTAGTGTGTAATTAATTATCGTTTAACAGCTTCAATGGGCGTGCCAGACATCTAAGCCGCTTAAGGTAAAGCAATTTAGCGAGAAACCCCTCGGAGATGGATCAATCTTGTTAGATTTTAATTTAATTTCATTATAGGTTGAACAGTTTTTTGCCAACTACAGTCACATTGCCAGACCTGGTGACTTGTCAGGACACAGTGACTACCATCTGTTTAAGGAGGGAGTCAGACCAATGTGGGAGGTAAGGACACAGTGACTACCATCTGTTTAAGGAGGGAGTCAGACCAATGTGGGAGGTAAGGACACAGTGACTACCATCTGTTTAAGGAGGGAGTCAGGCCAATGTGGGAGGTAAAGAAAATGAAGGGAGATCTCCAGAAATATATCTACATACTAGTCCCTGTGCAGACAGAATATTAAAGATGGTGTATAGAAAAATAGGTAAGGAAAACATTGTAGGATACGAAAAAGAAAGAAACACAGAATAGGAAAGAAGAAAAAGGGAGGAACGAAGACAAAAATTGGAATTGAAAAAGCATATAACAGAAAATCATATACACTATAAATAAAGATTTATTATATTATGTTTCAAAAGGAACATTTGTTATAATGTAATTTAAATTTTCTTTTCAGGATGATGCAAATAAAAATGGCGGCAAGTGGATTGTTCGTCTTAAGAAGGGGTTAGCGTCGCGGTGCTGGGAAAACCTGGTATTTGCTATGATAGGAGAACAGTTTATGGTGGGAGAGGAAATATGTGGAGCTGTGATCTCAATAAGATATCAGGTAATATACTAGGACTAGGTCAGGGGGTTTCTACAGGATTTGAGGTACACTGAGTCCTAAATGTGAATATGTAATTTGGTCAGTGAGTTACAGGGAGTCCAACCCAAGCAAGGTCAACCAACCAGACATTGTTTACACACCATGTGTTGTTTAATCTTGAAAATAAAAAAGTTGTCAGCTTGTGATATTGTTTATACACTTAATATTGTGATGCCTTAGAAAGGTAAAAAAAAATAATGTAATTTTGCAGTATTCCCACCCGTCAGAGTTGATTCTGTTATAAAGTCATACTTGTTTATTTACAGGAGGATATTTTATCATTGTGGAATAGAACAGCACATGATCAGCAGACGACGTCCAGAATTAGGGACACGTTGAAAAGGATACTAAATCTACCGCCAAATACAATAATGGAATATAAGAAACACAGTGAGAGTTTAAGGTGTGTATTTTCATCAACAGTTTTACAAAACAATTATCCCATTAAAAACATTAAATTTTTTTAATAAAAAAAGGAGGAAATGTTCTTTTCCTTAGTAGTTAATGGGAGTTTTTCTCTCTGATGTAAGTTGCTTTTAAAGTTGATATGTTACATAAAGGGTATTTTATAGTAACAGGGTAAAAGTAGCTTTAGGCATTTATTTTACCCAACATAAAATGTGCAGTAACCTGGCAGTCATTCAGCATTTGTCTGCTTTATTTCTTTTGAAGTTTTCCTCCCCTCCCCATCTCTTTCTTTCTCTCTTTCTCTCTCATTTTAACACATTTCTATTCTTCATCTTACTAGGTATACAGTAACTTCATCTAGGTATACAATTTTACAATTGGCCAAGAATGCAGTGGAAGCTTCAGCATGGTTTTTCGTAAAACTTTTTTAATTTCCTCATTTCAGTGATAATTCCAGTTTCCGAAATACATCGGTTTTTATGAGATGAAAAGAAAAAGTTTGGATTGACAAATGATGGACATGAAAACAACATCAACAAGGTGCATTTGATCTCTGAAGATAAAGATGGTTTCCAAGCAGGTATTAACATTCTTCCCAAGGAACATCGGGCGTCATAGTGGTTCAGTTTATGGTTAACATTGTGCCCATATGATCGTCCACGATGGTTGTTTTTATTGTGTTGATTCTGGCAAAAATCAGATACTTTATGCTGCAGTTTGACTCTGTTGCAATGTAACACAATAGTCAGTATGGGATTTCTGAACATTATCGCATTGAAAGATAAAGAAAAACATGATTCATTGTTAATAATATGGTTATTTGTAAACTAGATAATAGTACTGATATAAAAATGTTGAAACTTTTTTACTGCTTCTACAGTCTGGTTAATAGACAGAACTTTCAACAGGCTGTTATACATTGTGTTCTTTTTTAAATTTGGTTTGATGCTGAAGGATGCTGGTAGTGTGGTGTTAAAGTTTTCACCGGCACTCCTGACCAACGTACAGACAAATGTGGACGTGAAATGTTATAAAAGGGAAGAACATCTTTAGAGTATTCAGCAGAATTCAAAATTAAGGAAACTTATCCAAGATTCAGGTCACTGTTATACAATTGACCAATGGAGAAACTGGACAGGTATCAGGATCCTTGCCTCTATTTTGATACAGAACAGGTTGTTTTGTTGTAAGCAGCAGACTCAGATGATGTGTCAGTGTGTTTGCCATCAGAGCATTACGACAACAGACTTGGAATTTTTTTTATTTTTTTTTTTTTTTTTGTTCTTATGAAATGAATCAATAAAGCGACATGTTATTAAGTTTTAATTTTTGTTACACCGTTTTTGTTAATGCTTTGGTATATGATGTTATCAGAAAGACTGATAAGATAGGTACTGAATTAGGCTGGGTTAAGCTAATTGGAAATTTGCCTCAACTTTCTCATTGTGTGGTAAGCTAATGAACATCATCCAAAAAAACTGAAATAGTCTGCCATTATTTTTGGTCCCGCTCTTTTCTAAATTCCGTGGAATCTTGGTTTAAATGTTAGACTGACAGACTTTGGTGGTGGTGTGTGTGTGTGTGGGGGGGGGCTTTGGATGATTCCCATTGTTGTCCAACAAGCTGTAGGTGGGATATACCAAATTGAGTGCCTCTCAACTTGACTGAAAGTGTGCCTTTGGGCTTAAACTGTCCCCGATTTAAGACGTTTCACCAGGTATATCAGTCATTTATTATAACCATCCCCAGCATTGGATATGTGACCAAACAGACTCGTGATAGAACCAAACGAATTGATTTAATAAGTTTCCTAAGATTGCTGTCATACGGTCTGCATTAAGCCCCCTTTACACTGGACAGCGTCCTTTCTGCGTCCTGTAGTACAGCTCCGATTGAGAATCAAAAAATATACTTTACATGCTGACAACTGGTTGAACATTGAGCATCCATTCTGCATCCAAATCAATGCTTGTGCGCACTTTCTATGATCACATGATCACAGCGATGCCAGTTTCATGGTCGCTCAAAGGACACAGAAAGGACGTCGTCCAGTGTAAAGTGGGTTTTACTAGAACAGACCGCTATATTGTGCCTATAGTTTGAGTGTGAACGTGTCTACATTTTGGCCCTCCTGATTGTGTCATTGTTATCTTCACTAACTTATCAGTCCATGATTAGTAACATGTATATAATACTGATCAGCCTTTACATAACATGTTGCTGAATGTACCATAAACCACAAAACAAATGTCAAACCGACTGTAATGTTTTAATATCAGACCCAAAATGTATCCACCTATATTTAAAAATTAAAATTTTCTTGCCTTCATATTGCCCTTGAAAGAAATTGTAGTAAAGTTAAAATGAAAATAAGAAAACCATCATTAGAAAAAAGCATTGCTTGTGTGCAATATTAATATAAATGGTTGAAGAAACTAAGGCTGTTGAGATATTTTCCATTTTACTGCCAAGGTGAGTAAAAGGGATAACAACTCTTCATTTTGGTGGTAAAAGTGCCATAACACCAATTTTCCTGGGGTAAATGACTGAGTTTCCACTCTTACCAAAGGTTCATGAATTCTTTCTCACATTCAAAGTTAGTCAATTGGTTTGTTTTTTGGTAAAAATCTCTTAAGAGAGTCAAGAAATTTCTCATCCCCATTTTGCCCAAAATCCAGTCTTACTTCAACTTGTGTGAACATGCCTGGACAATTTTACAGCTGATTTATTTGAAGTAATGTAAAGCTTTTATCAGGTCAGCTATCAGTATCTATTAACTCAGTAGTAACTTTTTATCACGTTGACCATTAAAACTGAGGAATGTTTTGAATCTCATTTCTAATGGACATTGGTCACAGTGGTTAAGTGAATGAAAAGTTAAGATTTATGAAATATATTATGTATATGAGTAACTGTTCACTTTGGATGATTTGATAAGGAATTGTCCAGCAACAGTTCCTGACATGGAGGAGGACTGGGACAGTGAGTTGTCAGAGGCCTACACATGTACTACAAGTAAGGACTTTTTCTGCTACTTTCTTGCTCTAAACAGCAGTAGATCATGTACTCCACATAATCAAATGGATAATGGTGTCATAATGTTTTACTGGAGTGGCAAAAATGTATTTTGTAAACAATATTTATATATATATATATTTTCATTTTATTTATTTTATGAATATGATAATTGTTATTATCTTGATTTTTTCTTTTCTTTTCTGCCCCATCCCCCATTATATTGCTGTATCTTCTTCTGTCACTGCAATTAAGTCATTGGGGAAAGTAATTTAATAGATTTGATCTGTTGATATATTCAATTTATTTCACAATCAGGTTCAGAAAACGATATTAAAGAGCGAGAAATGTCACTGGTAGGAGAGATGGGATCAGACACACCCACAAACTCCAACAGAACCCCCTGCTGTGATGAGCGGAGAGATTCTATCCAATCAAATGAGTTTTCCCTTGGCAGCAGTGCCACCTACAGTTCATATGACATGGAGGATGATGATGGGATAGTTGTCCACCAGTCAAAGGGAATAGTGGCAGTAATAGGGGGAATGTTGGTGCACTTGGTGGTTGGTGCAGTGTTTTTGTTTGGTGAGACATTTAATTCCATCCTCGGCCAAAAATTTTAACTATATTCTGCGGGCTTGGTTTTGTCTGTTTGTTTGATAGAACATTTCAGAAAAAAAGTTAATGGATGAGTGAAACTTTCAGAAATGGGCTTTTCTAGAATTGATTTAATTTTGGTAATGATATATTAATTTATCAGTTGATTTGATTAATTATGAGACTTGGGCTGCCTTGGCAGAGGTTCTACTCTGAGTGATCAAGAGAGGGGGAGTCTCAATAGTCCAAAGGTTTTTTGGTCCAAAAAATTGTAGCATTTTCATCAGTTTTTTAATCAAGGGTTTTTGAACCGAAGGTTCTATTGTGGACATTCGGACCAATGAACCTTCGGAATATTAAACCTTCAGACTATTGCTATGGCTCCCTGAAGATGGTATTTTGTGACCTGCTTTAAAGGACAGAAAGTTATCTTTATACATTGCCTAATGTAATGATAGACTGGCTTTTTTATCCTGGAAATGATAATATTACTGATAAAAGTAAATTTTGTCAATCAGCAATCAGTCAAGTTTTAAAATAATGAGAGTTTGTTTAAGTTATACTTTTACTTTTCTGACATAATAATTGGCACAGTAATGGCAATCACAGTATTTTTTTTAATTTCGGTGATGTTTTCAAATTTGCGTTAAGTTCTGTGTTTTTTGAGTTTTCTTTTTCACAGCTTCTTTCTTTTTCTTTCTCTCTTTATTTAGGAAATGTTACAACCTACATGACCTCATATATGAGAAGCTTAAACAAAATATGCCTTGAATCAGGAGAAGATTTTGATGATTTTGACTGTTTCACCTACGAGAAAGCTTCGTGGATATATGGCCTCCAGTGGGTCAGCATGGGTGTCGCCATGTTTATAGGTGCAAAGCTGGAGTACAGGTTTGGACCAAGAATAACAACTTTTCTGGGGGGTTTCTTGTTATGGTGAGTAAATTTACTGGCATCTTTTTTTTCTTTAAATCCCCATTCAATGAAACTGTACAATTTCTTTATTTATTATCTTTTTTGCATGTTAGCATACTACATTGAATGAATTGAGGTTATTTATATAGCCAATATTAATTGTTTATGTGAATATTCTTTATTCTTTTAAATTTCTTATTTAAAAATTTCAGTTTCATTCCTTAATTGCCACTGTGCCCATCTGCAAATAAAATGTAATAATATCAGAGGAAGAGCTAGGGTGCAGTTGCTTTTGTATGAAAAAAGAAGTTAATAAATTAAAACAAATGTTGTTAAAACAAATATAGGTTCTTTGTACTAATGCATTAATTAAAGTATTTCAGGTCATGAGTTATATATTTCCAGTCTAGGAGTGTCCATGTCCTACTTCACTATCCAAGATGTTGATCACGGGTACCTGTACACTTTGCTGTCATTTGGTTTGGTGTATGGGTTTGGCATTGGTATCTGTTATCTGCCTCCTATAGTCTGTGCTATGAAAGTAAGTATGATATATGTGTATGGGTTTGGCCATGGTATCTGTTATCTGCCTCCTATAGTCTGTGCTATGAAAGTAAGTGGTGTGAAATATCAGGTGCAGGGGACAGGGCACAATAGACATGTGCCCTTCCCTTAAAGTCTGAGGTACCCCCTTCTTACCCCCCCCCCCAAAAAAAAAAAAAAAAGAAAAAAAATACCACCACCACTACTATTACTACTACTATTTCATATTTGATTTACAAAGCAAGTAAAAGATATAATTATTTTATCCTTCCATGCACCCGTGGCAAAATTCTTGTTCTTCCAGTGTGTAGGACAAAATTGGTCACTTTTGTGTTCTTGGAATTATTTGATTTTAAGTTTACCTTTCTTGTTTTACTTTCTTGTTTTTTGTTTTTTGTTTTTAAGAGTGAACTTCTAGTGGTTATATATAGATATTCTAGATATTTCTGAATCAGTTATTGATATCTTAGGCAATGTGTATTCTAAAATGTTCTCATTCTACAGACCAGCCATTTTGAAATATATCATTCTTCACGATAAGTGTAATATATACCAGTACATGCTTATAATTTCTTGCAATTTAAAATGTTTTTTTTTTCAGTGGTTTCCAGGCAGGAAGAGCACCGTGATAGTTTTTATCATTGTCGCCACTGGTTTGGGGAAATCTGTCTTCCAAAGTTTATTGACTGTGTATGCAAACCCAAACAACATCGCTCCGGTGGCTATTAGAGACTCTGATGATCCTGTTGGATATCCAGACAAGTAGGTTGAGATAAGTATGATCCTGGTACATATCCAGATAGGTAGGTTCACATAAGAATGATCCTGCTGGATATCCAGAGTGGTAGGTTCAAATATGGATAATCTTAATGGATATCAATTGGATATCAGTGTAAGCAAGTGAAGATAGATGTTAAATGTTTTGGTTTACAGATAAATTAGGAAGATCTGTTTCTTTACCCATGCCCATACAGGTCCAGAATATTGGATGATTTGAAGAGGCATTGCAATGTCATACCTATAGATAGAAAACATGTTTATTCTCTTAAAAACATCTTTTTTTACCACATCTTTTTTTATCAACATATTGCTCTCCGTTTCAGATATTTTGTGGATGACAAGGTGTTAGAAAGAGTTCCGAGTATCTTCCAGTGTCTTGGCATCACCTACGCTATTCTGTTGACTTTTGGTACTTTTCTATTGTTCAGTAGAGAAGACAATGCAATACAGGTAGGTACTACTTGATATCATTATTACAGCAGTTGTAATGACATGTGTGCTTTATTACGTCTCATAAAACACTCATTTGGCTGGTCTCTTAACTCAGTTCTCCTCCTTTTACTTCATTGCTGAACTCTTTATTCCTATATTTATTACTTCTGCCAAAAAGATGGTGTTTTGGCCTTCTTTTCCTTTAGTTAAAACCCAAACTCAAACAGTTATGGATGGATTTTAATCAAATTTTCAGAAAAATTAGCAAATGAGCAAACTAAGAATCAGTTTGATCTTAATCATGATCTGTTAATTAATTAATTAATGTAAGATTAAGCTTCTGTGGCAGAGGTCTGTGCTCTCTATGTGCTTTTACAGCAGTTTATTTATTTATTTATTTAACTTCCAGGAATATTTAGATGTGGCAGCTGTAGTGATATTATCAGGCAATAGTAATTACAAGAAAAGAAGCCCCAGTTGTATGGAGGACAGCCTGATGCCAGGGCACAGGACAGGAAGAATTCTAGCGTAAGGCCCTCTTCATGCCAAGTAGCACGTTCAACTAGTCTAGATTAATTTGAGAGACTGACAACTTTTATGTACTGTCTGCTTGTTGGAATCAATTTTTGATGAAATATTTGAATAGTCCATTTAAATGCTCTAAATACCCGTGATTGTGGTGAAATAAGTTATCAAAACTGACCATTTCCATTCAAATTATGTAAAATCAATTTATGTCTGTTGAACAGATAATGAAGCAAAGGTGTTGATCTTTCTATATATAATCATTTTATATTACAGAGATGGTTCAAGAATTCCTCTAGAGGAGCCCAACACAAAGCCCCTAGAAGTTCTCAGAAAAAAGGAGTTTTATGTCTTATGGCTGATGTTCATGTGTAACACTCAAGCACTCTTCTTCATTACTAGTATTTTCAAAGTAAGACCAAAAGCAAGTTTTTTGTCACTGGCATATTCAAAGTTTCATTTGCTATCAAATTTACAGGCCCATAGCCAGCTATTGCAAAAGGGTGTGGGCCTTTTTTCATGGAACTTTAGTTTACTTTGAGCAAATTTACCCAGAGTGGACCTTTTCCCAGCCAAAAGGGGGGTTCTTTTGAAGCCCCTGAACCCCCCCCCGGCTTCGGGCCTGCAAAATAAAAATCTAGAACAGTTTTAAAACATATGAATTTCTCAAAGTTTTTTTGGATTGCAGGATATACATATACTTTGAAGATTAATGGTAAATTGTGGAAATCATCGCCGCCCCCCCCCCCCCCCAAAAAAAAAAAGCACATTTTCTTCTGCTATATATAAACGTCTCACATGTCAAAGAACTTATTTTCTACAGATATATGGACAGAGTCCAGACTTTGACATGTCTGACCACTTTCTGGCTGCAGTGGGATCCGTGTCGCATGTTTGCTTTGCTGCAGGAAAAGTGGTTCTTGGTTGCATTGCTAGCAAGGTTGGGATTAGGGTGGGTAGGAAATCAAGACTATTTGACTTATTTCAAACAGATACATGTCACGAATAAATTAGGGTTGTGTGTCTGGAATTTTCTACTTTCCCAGCTGCTGTACACATGTTGGTCAGTTCATTTTTTTTCCAAGACAAAGTTGTATTTAAGTACACTTGAATACCACTAGAGTTCAGTATTTTCTCAGCTAAGGTGATAATTTATAAAAGTAATAGATATTACTGTAATAATACAATACAATGCCCTTAAATAAAGCTGCAATTTTTATTCATTAAACAGCTAGCATTGAAATAGCCATTTATATACAGTATTTAGTACATAAAACAGTTGATGGAAATTCTTTTCTCAATATACTTTTGGCTTAATTAATTAAAGTGCTGGTGAGTACCTGCAAGTGAATATTTATACTGTAACAAATATGATTTATTATAAATATATAATTTAATTTATTGTTCTCTTCAGCTGACATTAATTTCCCAAAGTGCCTGCATGGTCTTTCTGCTGTCAACATTTGAGTTGTCCAGATATTTTAACAGTGGCATATTGTTTGCTGTGTGGGACTGCCTCCTCCATGCTGTATATAGTGGCAATTATGTTCTCTACCCTGTGGTCATTGCTAATATGTATGGCTTGAAGTATGCAGCATGTAACTACGGGATGTTGTTCACTTCTCAGGTAGGGCTGGTACAATAAGGAAATTGTTTGTTAACTGACTGAATGTGTTTTAAGCTGTGAGACATGCTCCCATGGGCAAATCAACCATGTGATCTGGGCTCTTTGATGAGGGGTCAAAATTAATCTCTCAGGTACATATGTGTTAAAATTCCTGTAGAATTATTTAAATTTTTTACCATGTTACACAGGTAATGTAAAAGTCAACCTATTTTACCATACATATTGAAAATTGAAATCACGTGGTTAAATTAATAATGATATTTTTTTCCAAGGACAAAAAGACCACCAAATGATTTTGCCAATATAACCGTAGCTATATTACTTAAGAAGAATGTCAGTCATAATATCATCTCATAACTTCCTTGTGTATTTGATATAACTGTGGATGTAGTTTTATTATTACTTAAAGAAGAATGTCAGTTATAATTTCCTTTGTGTCATTTTCCAGGCCATCATTGGAGCCACAGCTGTCTTACTGTCAGCAAAGTTATATATTATTTAAAGAAGAATGTCAGTTATAATTTCTTTACGTATTTTACTAGGCCATCACTGGAGCCACAGCGGCGCTACTGTCAGCACAGTTATACAAGTGGTCGGGATATGCCTTCGCCTCTGATATTGTGGCAGGGTTCTCTTGTATAGGTGACTCCTTTTTATTTACTTTGGGTTTTTTAATTTTTTTTTTTTTTAATTACACAAAAAAAAAAAACACTGAAAACCTGAATAAACGAGGGAAAAAAGGTGCAGAGATCAGGAATTAAATTAATTTTTAAAATCTCAAATCACTGTTTAAATGGAGCAAATTAAACCATTAATTCACCCCCTAGGTCTTAAATAAAGTTTACCCATGACTAAGGCTTCGTTCACATGGAAAGTCTATTTTCTAAAAATCTGTTTTCTATTCGCGGTATATCTTGTGATCACGGTCTGTGCCCTGAATATCCCGCGGCGTAATTACTGGCAGCGCGAGCAAGTTACTTCCAAAGCTGTAATTAATTCTCGGCTGTGCTCAGAGGAGATTCTGATACCTTGACGCATGCGCAGTAGGACGTTAGAAAGTTAATGGTGGTCGCGGTTGCTTTGAAAAATGTGTTTGTCGATTTTGTGCAACAACAAGATGAAGAAGATGAAGAAGCTATACACACGACAGATACGAGTGCAACCGTCATGATCCGATGGCAAGCGATGCGGCAACGGAGGATGAGATTTTATAGAATGCGTGCACAGCCGAGAATGAATTACAGCTTTGTATTAGTAACTGGCTCGCGCTGCCAGTAATTACGCCGCGGGGTATTCAGGGCACAGACCGTGATCATAAGATACCGCGAATAGAAAATAGATTTTTAGAAAATAGACTTTCCATGTGAACGAAGCCTAATTAGTGTTTTAGCACATGTCAATTGTTTTTGTAACTTTTTCAGGTATGATGCTTGCATTTGTCTTTAATGGCAAAACTTGGGATGGAAAGACTGTCTGAGGATGAGGACAAACCGTCTCTAGGACACTTGTTAGGGGCGGACACTGGCTTCAACAGCAGCTAAAATGGTTCAGTTGAAATTTATAACCATATCACACTTTTTAAGGAGATTATTCCTGACCAGCTACTGAGTTTATAGCATTGTTACTAAAAGCTGACCTACCAAGCATACACAGAAATGAACTGTATCATTTCAAGTAAAAAATTATGTTCACGGGAGCATTTTGTGTGAGGTAAATCATAATTGTTCATAAGAAAGTTTCCAGCCCAGCAATACCCCACGTTTGGTCAGCTGCTTCACACTCTGTCAGATGGAATACTGCTGGACTGGTGACTGGGACCGTACCATGGCACTGTATTATTATTACAGTGTTTGTTTCGCTTTAACCTATATGAATGAACTTCATACTTGCCAGGCCATGTCGGACTGTATGAATATCGTGCCTTTTAAGGCATATTAAAATATAATAAACCTTTTGAAATAGGTCTTTGGTTGTGTCTTGTGTAATAATTATAAAAAAGTAAATCATTTCTAATGAGACCTAACATGATCTTATTACTTGAGGAGCTCTAAATGTCCTGTAGACTCGCAGGTCGTGGATTCAATCTCCATCTTCATATTTGCAAATGAGTAATTTCTACCTACGGTTGTATAATGTCTGGACCTTACTTAACTTTGTTTTAATAATGAGACAAGATGATCATTAGTTAGCATCATCTGTTCACGTGATCAAGGACCATTTATAAAAGGTAAAAAAGGCCACGCCTTATGAAAATAATACACGTTTTGTCTCTAAAGGAACGTTTTCCCTTCAATCAAAATAAATCTTTATATTTAAAAAAACGCTTTGGGCATTTGAAACCAACATTCCACCTCTTTCACCAGAAGAGAGAAATCACAACAATGAAAAAGGATCAATTGTTAACGTATGCTTCAGAGTTCTTGTAACTGACCGTTACAGAGGTTTTCGTGATAAAATGTGAAAGGTGGTGGCCGACGAAAAAGATTAGGAGCAAGAGTTTGTTAGAGACGAGACGTGACAAAAGTGAATTGACATCCCAGCAACCTGTCAGATGTAATAACTAATTTGCAGGTGTGAAGACCTGTTTTATCAGGATTTGCGTCCTAAAATGTTTTTTTGATCTTATCAAAAATATAATGGAAAATATATCGATCTAATTGTATATTGCCGATGACAGGTGATAATTTCAGTTAGTTCTGACGGCATGGAAGATAAAGACAGATATAACTATCACGTGCATTGATAAGTGAGGTTAGCGCTTCAAAATAAACGTTATCACTTTTCATATAACATCTGGCTTTATCAACATGCCTTGTCACAAACATATGAATATTATACATATATACGCCGCCATACTTACAAACTTCGTTCCTATAAAGTCTCGAAAAGCGCAACCGTCAGATCCCCCTAAAGTAATAAAACGGCGCGTCTCCAAATTTGACTGATTCGGATTGGAGACCACTTCGACCATTTTGGAGAATAGATCAGGCCATGAATTCGTGAAATGTTGAACTCTACATCGATGGATGGTCCTCGTGACTCTATTCAGGGTATGGCTTCAGATTTAAGGTTAAGTCTTTGTTTCAACATAGTCCTTATTTGATATCCAATATTAAATTTGTATAAAAAAGTTAAAGATGTAGGAGTTATGATCTTTAGAGATATATTTGGCTATTTCAGTTTATTATACCCTCAAGGTTATACCACTTTGTCGCTTTGCAATGATACCAATATTATTATACAACCAATACTTCAATGTCCAATACCAGAGCTACATCATGGGAGCATCAACGGCGACAGTAGTGGAACTTTCATCGTGGATAAAAAGGGGATGACGGACTCCGAGATCATAGACAGGGCGGCCAAGGGGTTCTTCCGGAACCGTAGACGTCCGCTGCCCTATAACAGTGAAATCAAAGTGAAGGGGGTCCTGGCGGTACTCGGAGGGGTACTAGTACATATGACCCTGGGGACGGTGTATACATTTGGTAATGTGGTTTGTGTTTGTGTGTAGGTTTTTTTTTATTTCACTTTTGTATTACCTTTTTTGTCCTAAAATATAGATTTACCGTCATAAAAACGTATTACTATCGAGACGTCCCCATTCGATTATAATTCTCTCTCTCTCTCTCTCTCTCTCTCTCTCTCTCTCTCTCTCTCTCTTAGTGTGTGTGTGTGTGTGTGTGTGTGTGTGTGTTCAGTTATGTTTGTCTCTATGACGTCTGTCAGAAGTCATTCTGTCTGTCTCTCTGCCACGCTCTGCCTGTCTGTCTGCCTGTCTGTCTGTCTGTCTGTCTGCCTGTACAGACTGTCCGTCCATTTACATGCATGGCTGCCTGATTATCTGTTATCAATCTGTCAGTTCGACCACTCTCATTAAATATCTTCAAAACAGGTCCATATATTGCCCCTATTTTCCTATATATATCGAAATAATGCTGCCAAACCAACTACAGAGCTTTCTCTTTAGCAATAGTACGCATATGGCTATTTCACAGGTAACATAACGACCTACATGACGTCTTATATGAGGGAATTCGACCGTGCCTCGTTTCCTGTGACGTACGCCAGCACAAACTGGATATTTGCCGCTGAATACACATTTTCCGGGCTCGCCATGTTTGCAGGCGGGGCCCTGGAGAGGACTGTTGGTGCCAGAATAACTACACTCATAGGAAGCTGGGTTATGAGGTATTTTATATGGCGTGAATGCTTAGTTTGATATTCAAATGCCCATCTTAAAGGACGCATTCAGATAGACGCATCGTACTACCTGGGTCGGTCCAACCGTGTGAGGGATTCTTCCTAGGCGCAATCAGTAGAATCAGTTCCTCGAGCAGCAAGGGGGAAATTAACTTTCCTGTGCGCTCGGCTTAATATCAGACGGTGACCTGATTCCACTGCTTGCACTTACAGAGAATTGAAGACCGACTCAGTACGACGTCTCGATCTGAACGCGGTCTATCACTTTGAACGAAAAAAATCGTAAAACAAACCTCACAAACTTCAACTTAATGGAGTTCTTGTGGTAGATACCTTATAATAAGATAAATCGATAAACAAGAAACTTCATGCTGAATCCATGTCAAATTCCCATGTTATTTTGGAATCATTGGGTATTTCCTGATATCTTTTCTTTAACTTGGAGATCAGTCAAGAGTATGATGTAGTGTAGAGGTTTGATTAAAGTTCTCTGAAGCTCTGGGTGAATTTCTCATGTTCCCTTTATGCCAGTAAAGTAATATTTGCTATCAGTATCCAATAAGTCACAATTTGTCTAATTCTCATACTTCAGTCTTGGAGTTCTTCTGACCTTTGAGGCCATCCAACATTCCTTTTTGGCGACAGTAGCTACCTACGGAGTCTTGGTGGGGATAGGCGGCGGTTTGGCTTACACTGTACCCATGACGTTAGCGATGAGAGTATGTCGTCATAACGAAAGGAATAATGATCCCGAGTTGGACGTCACACATCCCCTGCGGAAATTTGTCTCATTTAACGTTCACTTACGGTTCTCAATCTATTCTAGAACATTTAATTTTTTTTTTTTTTTTACAGTTCTAATGTTGTTCTGTGATGAATGTAACAATTCGAGAACTGTTTTGGGGAAGTCCTTCAGAATGTCCTAGAACAGATTAAGAACATTTTTTCATGAAAAGAGAAAAAATTTATGTTCTAGGACAGATTGGGAACCGTAAGTGAGCGTTAAATGAGACACATTTTCGCAGGGGATATTGCACTAGTGCCCATGCGTTGACTTCTTCCTCATGGCCGGGCAACTTACGGACGTATTACATAGGAGCCAGTGAATTGTCTCAGTCACTGATTCCACAACGATTTTAATTACTTCAGTAATTCCACGGATGTACAGATTATGCAAGTAAACATTAGACAAACAATGCACATATTTGTACATACAGGGTGTTATGGTTCCAAAAGTTTTCTAACTTTATTTTCTCAGATCATCATTTACTGGTATCATTTTGAACAACATATCTTTCAGTGGTTTCCTGAAAAGAAAGGTTTGGCCGTTGGGCTGGTTCTTGCCGGCTTTGCTTGTGGTCCGTTTCTCTTCGCCTGGGTACAGACGCTTTATATGAACCCCGACAACAAACAACCGTCTGATATCATCTGTCCCTTCCCTATTGCCAACAGCTCCAAACCTTGCCATACAGAAAGGTGGGTTTCTATTTGTTAAAAATAAGTGTTTCATAGAAAAATTGGTCTCATTTGGACCACAACCGACCGAACTCTCGTTCAGAACTAATTTTGGTGAATGATATAGTAAAAAAGTATTATATAAGAATCTAATAAATAATTTAACTGATAAATGGTGTATTCTAGATGTACTTTATTAACACGAAAAAATTAATGAATTACTGAAAATTTGGTTTATATTGGTTTGAGGATACGTAACAGAATATTTTTTCCCTATTTCTTCGTTCCACTACTGACTTGTATTCTAAAGAACTGTGTATTGCTTTTTTAAAGCAAGTCCTTTATCATTATTTCATCATCAGTCACTGTCAAATTTATTGTTCCACAGCATAGACCCCAATAAAAAAAGTTTGTATGTTGTTCCAAAAAATGGACGGTGTTCCACCCTCTTGAATTCCATTCTCT